TCAAAGCAGTCTACAGACTGAGGGCATTGTGAGTAAGAGTTCTTAGAAAACACTGCGTAATCTGGGTCTCGTTGCATTAGATTTGTGCCGAATGATTCAAATGGACAGCACACATACAGCAGACATATTTATTGATAGGTGATATATAAACAGACTTAACGTGTCCTACCTCTCTTCATTCTACATTTAGATGCTGAGTTAACACACATACAGATACACATTAAAAGCCCAGTGAAAGGCTGGCATCTTAGAAACTGTCTCATACAGTGGAGCACTTTCACCTCAGTTGAGCCTCCACACACAGGCTGCCTCTGTCGCTCAGAGGCTGCTCGGCTCCAAATATACAGTTCAAAAAAGCCTCCAGCACAAGTTCTCCTTGTCCTCCTCCGACCCGGGAGTCCAGAACTGCAGTCTTTAGTATATAGAAGTCTCTTCTTGCATTGCTAAGGTTGATGAGTAACAATATTTAGTGAGTTTACGTGGTGACATTGCAGTGGATAAGAGGAATAAATGATGATAACTGTTGATTTTGTAATGAAGATTGTGAAATATCAATACTGTGCATGTGTGAAATGACACTAAACAAAGTAGAAACAATATAACACAAAGTTACAGCACACTGAATCTGTAGCTGCTGGTACTTATAATATTGCATATTTCTATACATTTAAAGATTTATTTACGAGTTCCCCAAAGAGAACATGGAGTGTAGTGTCTTCACACAGTGCCTTTCCTCTTATTTTTCAGTGTCTTCCGCGCAGACCAATAACCTGATAACTGTTATCACCGGCCGCCAGCTGGTGTCACAGCTTTTTCCAACATAGCAACAATTTATTTAGTGCTATGCAGTCAGGAGTGCTAAGTGGTAAGGCTTCAAGCGGATGTGGCTCCACGCCATTTGAGGGGAAAAAAGTGTCCTTGCCAACATTCAACCAGCTGAATCTCCAATCTGTGTTTATCGTAAATCCAGGGAGGCATCTTCTTTGTTCTGAAGCTTCATCAAAGTTGGACAGGCTGTCCTTTAAGAGGAGGGTGCAAACCTCGTGCTCTTGCTTGATCTAACGCAGCCTTTATTCAGAAATGTCCTTCCCCTTGAGCAGGCCCTAGTTCCATCCAGCACAGAGGACCTCCTATAGCACGCTGCCATCACTGTGAGACAAAAGGCAGCAGCTGTCACATGGAGAACAAAATCCCTCATGTCTAAACAATCCCCAGACTTGTGGTAGCACACGTACTCACACACACTTCTCATACAGCATTGGTGTGTGGTGGCTCTGTTGAGTCTGCCGTTAAAGGTGTGTGTGTTGTGCTGGTGTCCATCATGTTAAGCTTTTCAGTCCCGTTCCTTGGTTCTTCTCTCCGTCTTCTCCTCCGCCAACACAATCTGAACCTACGACTGACAGAGATATAAAACATGTTATGCACAGTACATGACATTTATACCAATCAGCTATAACATTTTGACCACCTGTGCATGTGGGTGGTCATAATGTTAAGCAGCTCCATACGCCACAAACTGTGATGCACGGTGTGTTCTGAATCCTTTCTATCAGAACCAGCATTAATTTTTCAGCAGTTTGAGCTACAGTAACTCGTCTGTTGGCTTGGATCACATGGGTCAGCCTTCGCTCCCCACGTGCATCATTGAGCCTTGGCAAGCCATGTCCCTATCTCTGGTTCACCACTTTTCCTTCCTTGGATAACTTTTGATCAGTACTGTCCACTGCAGACCGGGAACACCCCACAAGAGCTGCAGATTTGGAGATGCTCTGACAAAGTTGTTTAGCCATCACAGTTTGGCCCTTGTCAAAGTTGCTCAAATCCTCACGCTGCCCATTTTTCCTGCTTCTAACGCATCAACTTTGAGGACAAAATGTTCACTTGCCTAATATATCCCACCCACTGACAGGAGCCATGATAACTAGATAATTAGTGTCATTCACTTCACCTGTCAGTGGTCATAATGTTATGGCTGATCGGTGTATACGCAGCAGTAAAAATACACTCATAATGCTTCCATTTTAAATGAACAGGTCAACACCTTGGGAAATGTGATTGCTTAGTTGACAAGAAGTAGATGAGAAGATTGATACCTCACATGTATGTATGCTAAATATGAAGCTATAGTCCGTTAATTTAGCTTAGCTTTGCTGCTGGTTAAATAAAGGTTTAATAATAATAATAAACAACACTGGTGTATTTTAGTATTTATGTGAGTCTGTTATTCAAAAATGATTTTTAAAAATGTTTTAAATAACTGGTGATCATAACATAAATCTGTATTGTTACATTAACTGGGAGAGTCACATGTTTTTATGTTTAGTAACATTGAGGACATCACCAAAAAAAAAAAAAAACCCAAATGTCAGACTAGTACAGTTAATACATTGGTAAGTCATATTTTCTCTGTCCTACAATCACAAAATCTTACTGTGAACAAAAGCAGATGAATACAATGAGAAGAATGAGGAAAACGAGCCCGGTGATGACACAGGCAATTATGATTTGTCGTTTCTCTCCGATCCGCGGGCCCAGGTCCACATATTCACACCTGGAGCCAGTGTAACCATGGTGACACCTGAGACATAGAAAGAGAAAACCTCCATGACTTTCATTTTATGTGACTTTTCCTTGCAGTCATCTGTTTATCTGCTTCTCCAGATATACTGAGACATTCAAAAGCCATTGTTGTGCAGGACACACAGTAACAAACAACTCAATATCATCTGCTCTGTTTTCAATCCCTTTCGATTTTCCTCTGTCCTCACTGTCCAGCTCCTTCTTACAGCTACATCTATCTCTTTATATTAACATCTCCATGCACCAGTATCTCTATTTTTTCTCAGTCTCTCACCTGCAAGACGGTGCCTTCTGTTCTTTAATGTAACGACAATCCCCGTGGATGCAGTAGTATGTTAGCTCCTCGGGACATTTTGAGAAGTGGCCATTCCACTGCCCTGTATCTATTGTGTCTGCTGGGTAAATCAAATTACATTTTAATTAGTTTCAGAATGAGCAATTCAGTACGACATAATTTCATCACAGTGTAAACTAATGAACAGTGAAAGGTGTGAGTTTCTCATATGATATATTGTGTTCAAAGGAGTAGGAAAATCTCTTTCTTGTGGAAAGTTAAATGAGAAGATTGATAACCACCATAATGTCTGTTCAATACCAGTGCCAGTGGACGCTTAGATCAACTTAGTTTAGCACAAAGACCAGAAAACAGGTATCGTGACCCTGTCTAAAGGTAACAAAATCCACCTTCTAGTACCTCTAAAAGGTCACTAATTAACATGTTATGGCTGTTTTCTTCAGTCTTTATGTTAAGGCCTAACAAAAGCTAACAAAGTCTCCTGGCTGTGGCTTCATATTTATGGTAAAAACAATAGTGGCTTCAATCCTCTCATCTAACCCACGTCAGGAAAACGAGGAAAGCTAATTTCCGAAAATGTCTTCTGTAACTGTGTCAAATTCTGTCAGCTTGCTTCTCTCATGGCCTGATGTGTATAAATAGACTGTTTGCAATATGATCCACAGAGGAGTCCTGATAAATCAGTGCCAGGAAAAGCTTGTGTCATCAAGGTCTTATTATTAACCACGTGTCGCAATTATTACAGTTCTTTACTAAATTAAACACACGCTAAGGTGGACTACAGTTATGGTTCCCATTCTTCCCGTCTATCGCTTCCTATTCTTCTCCCTATGGCTTGCTCACAAACAACTAAAACACACCCTACCACAGTTGCTAGTGGGTCATAATGCTGAACTTCTGACCGCCATTTACACATAGTGCTTTTTATACTACGGGCTATCTTTACAACCCATTCCCATGAGATTATGTTTGAAAATGAGCTTGTAAAAGAATACTGCTGTTCAGGTAACATCAATGAGAGCGCTTCGGTTGTTCTCTGAAACATGATCCAGCTTTGATGCCATGACCTCACTGCTGAAAAGAAAAATATCCAGTTACAAAGTTCAAAGGAATAGTTTGGAAGATATGTTTATTACTCTCTTGTCTGTTCACTAAAGATGAAGCTAATGCCAGCAGTTGGTTTGTTTAGCTTAGCTTAACGAGTGAAAACAGCTAGCCTGGAAAGGAATAAAAATGTCTACCAGCATTTAAACTAACTAATTAACATCTTTATATCTCATGTGTTAAATCTTTACAAAAAATATAGCGTAAATATTATTTGTTGTGGTTTTAAAGGGAGTTGAGAGTGAGTTACGTTTACCCCGTTTAGTCTTTCTGCTAAGCTTAAGTGGCATCTAGTGGTGTAATCACACATTGCAACTCACTCATTCAACGGTGTCCATGAAACACACAAAAAACGTGAACAGCCCTTTCTACATCCAGTGTTTTGTGTGTTCTGGGCTACTGTAGAAACATGGTGGTCCAACATGGCGGACTCCATGGAAGGTGACCCTCAGCATCTGATTAAAACGGCTCATTCTAAGGTATTCAAGGTATTGAAAACACAACAATTCCTATATTCAGGTGATTATACACTAATTAAAACCTAACTATGCATATTATTTTCCATTTCTGTCAATAGATCCTCCTAAATGTTACACACTGAGATTGTTGGAAATTTAGCTTGTCTTAATGTGTTAAACAGCTGGCCTGGAAAGAAATAAAAATGTCTACCAGCATACCAGATATTTAACATCTCATTTGTTTAATCTGGACAAAAGCCAGGAACTACCCATTGGACTGAAAGCCAGTTTTTCCAACAGCATGTTATCTCAAAAACAAAAGCACTGCTTCATGTCTCCATGTCCCAAAAATACACACTCTCTCTGGACTTTTTTTGCTCTTAATATGTGGCATTTGTCAACAATAACAAACACATGGTTAAGGTTGTGAAACAGTCGCAGTTTGGTTAGGTTTAGGCACCAAAATTACTTAGACTACATAGGAAAAGATGGTTTGGGCAAAATTCTGTATGTTAGTTCACTTACGTACATCAGTTAAGGAACAGTGGTTCTTTGGAGCAATGGCCGTTTGTTTTTAGGATGATGGGCTGTCGGACAAATGGGCTTTTGG